TAGAGTGTAGACCTAAAGATAGGCCGTGACTCGGAACACTCCATATACATTGTGTGAACTTGATTGATTGAATATCACTTCCAACAACGCTGTGTTTCAACACGGAGAGCAATGGACGCGGGAGCAAGGGTCTCCTTTGAGAAGGGAGTAGCCCGGTTCGAGATGGGAGGTGTGGTGAAAATGGAGGCGGTACAACATGGGGAGTTGTGGGAGATTGTGACGGTGAAGAAGGCGCAGGCATTCGTGGCGGTGAAGGGCCCGGCCAAAACGGGGTTTCGCTTTGGAGAGGCGGCAAGGAAGCCGCCGGTAGTTGCGGAGAGAAAGCGGATGGAGGTGAAGCCGGTCGAGTTCATTGAGGTTGATCTTGAGTCGGACGATGAGTCGGACGACGGGCCCGTAAAGGAGTCCCAACCGATAGAGGCGAGCGTTGGGGAGACAATGATCGCTGAGCACGGCACAACGGAAGCGTGGGAGCCGCAGCAGAAGGCGTGGGAGCACGGGCGGACATAGTTTTGAAGGGGACGGAGCGAAATGTTTCGACGGACACGTGCGGCAAACGTTATCCGGATAGAGCGCGAGCGGCACCCGGGAACTTTTGGGAGCCGCCGACCGAGAAGGGGTGGATCACGCCAAGGTCCAAGAAGAGAACGGGTGGAAGAGGCTAGGTGTGAGCGGGACAATTTGTCTGTGTGGGAGTGTTGAGAAACGGAGTTGATTGGGGCCAAATTGTTGAGTTAGGCTCGATAGATTTGAGCCGGAGGATCGTGAGTTTTGTCGTGTGATATCGACCGTAGGATTGTGGTTTGTCGCGTGTAATATCGACGGTAGAATTGGAGGTTCGTGTCGTTGAGTATCGACCGTCCGATTGCGTGTTGACTCGGATTTCGGATCGTTAGATGTGAGTCGACTCGAGTAGTGTAGTAACCCGACCACTAGTAGTACGGTACTACCGACCACTAGTAGTATAGTGCCCCGGTCACACAAGTCCGAGTGAAATATAGGCCGTATTGTAAGTAGTAGAGTGACCGGTTGACGGAAAGGAGTCCATATAGTTGAACCGACTAGTGGGTGGTGGAAGTATACCCGACCTAGGCTAGAGTACATCTAGCTACGGGATTCGAGCGACTTGGACTATTGTGATGTGATGGATATTCATTCTATTAGAGATGCTTGAAGAGAGGAAGGCGCTTCTTTGTGAAGGCGCTTATTTTTGAGGGTGGTTGGACCCTAGCTTGTGACAAGCATGAGTAAATGATTTCAACACGGGGTGGGCCGATTGTGGAAGTTGTGCGCGAAGTTATAGGGGTGTCCGAGAAGATCGGAAAGGGCAAGGAGAGCCCAATGACGGCGGGAGAGAGCGAGCCCGCCAATGTGGAACGGGCAACGGAGAAGCCTGTAGTGGTGTACCCAGATTTGGGAAGATATTTTGCGAGAGTGCGACGGGAGCTCGCCGAGTGGTATCAGGCAAATGTGGGAGCAACAACGGAAGCCGTGGGAGCCGAAGAGCCAGAGCACGGAGTGGAGAAGACGTCTCCGGAGAAGAGCGACGATGGCGACAGTGGAAGCGTGTGGATGACGCCAAAGGCAAAGAAGACAGCCCGCAAGAGGAGCGCGACGAGTTAGAGGCTTAGAGTAAATCGTCTGAGTGGGAGTGTTGGAAATCGGTGATATAGTCAGCCGAATTGTGTGTTGAGGATCTGCCCGAGGTAGAATTTGGACTAATGAGCGCCGGCGTGCGTGAACGGCGGCTGGACGGTTATAACGTTAGCCGATTTGGAGGTTAGGCTGTTGAGAGCGGCCGTCAGTGTAAGCCGTAGATGAGGATATCGAAGGCTAGGATTGAGTGTGACTGTGAGCTAGGCTAGTGAGCCTAGTAGAGTGTGAGTAAGGCTAGTAAGCCTAGAAGGCTAGTGAGCCTAGTGGAACGGGAGAGACCCGTAAGACTTTATTGGTGAAGGAAACCACTAATGTGGTACATCATTTTAAGAGAAGATTGTGGAGAGAAGGGAGCCGCTTGTGAGGCGCTTCGTGTCTTCCTTTTAAGATGCATGGCTGTCATCAATGAGTAATGAGCGTGGGTGCCGGGCAAAACGATAAGGCCCGATGACGAGTAACTCAACCAAACTACGAGTCCCTACAATGAGTTCAACATCATACATCGGTCTACAATACATTTGTGGAGAAAAGGAAGCCGCTTGTGAGGGGCTTCTTGTGATGCTCTTCGGCTGCATGGCTGCCATCAATGGGTGTGCGTTTGAGTGCCCAACACTATGATAAGACCCAATGACGAGTGAACACAACATAGATCTACACAAGCAACCTATCGTGGGTACCGGGAGTGTCGCACGGGACAGCTACGGTGCAAAATGTGGCCGGGGCAAATTGACCGGAATCGAATTTATCGGCGGCGGAGTACGCCGCACATTGCGACGATACGGTCGAAATTTCACGGGTCAATTTTGGGTACTTCGTGGGTAGTCGATCGGTCGACCGTACCAATATCCCCCGAGTTTTTGAAGGTCTACTGCAGATTTGCCCCGATTGTCCCATATTTGGCTGTAAAATTGGGGTGTAAAGCCATGACTCCACAAGGACTTCCAATAGAGATACAGAGATGCAGCTTGTGCAGGGGGTTCAAGCTTGGAGTGTTGAAGAGCCCGATGTAATTTACTTGGCAAGGAACTTCCATTTCAAAATGGTTCCAGGCTCATAATGAGGCAAGGTAGGCAAGGAAGAGCTTTTCCAAGACCACCACATCTTGAAGACAAAGGGCGACTCTTCACATCAATCCTTCAAATTGGACCCTCATTCTAACGGCCGTTGAAATGCCGTGAGGGGTACCCAAGTCCGCGGCGTTCCGGGTGAGCCGGGCAGTATTTCAGTCTTTACGCTATTTGTAAATTAAGCCCAGGGCATACCGGTACCGGTAGGGACAAGAAAATTTTGTACGGTCCGTATCACTCTACCGGTAGGTAGAGAGAACCGCAATAGTGTGTCAGAAAGTACGTACCAACATGGTGCCATCCAGCCGCAGAGCTCCTAAAAGTGGATCCGTGTAGTAGCTAGGGTAGGTGTTGTCTAAATAAGGTAAATACGCATGTACCGGCCGATCTAGGAAGTCCATGTGCTGTATCCTGCCATGCCAATTTCTATTACAGCGTTACATCCTGCTAAGTCCGGTCAATCGATTTCCGGGCAATTGTAGAACTTGAATGATCCGGGGCCGAACTGCCGCAAATTGACAGCGATTTTCTACCCCGGTCAATTTCGGCCGCGGCGAGAAGTGCCGGGATTTCGCGCAACTGCAAAATTGAACTCGTACGGAAATCCGGTGAAATATCCCCGCCGGACGGTGCAATTCCGGCCCGACCTACTTTGCACCGTAGCTGTCCCGTGCGATTCCGTACCATTCCGGTCACAAATTTGTTTCACCGGTGTCGTGGTTCGCGACAAATCTTGCACGCAGTATTGACGACCGTACTCGACGGAAATTGAGAATGCAGTCAGACTTCATGAGTTTGCGACCACACAAGCAACCTAGGAATTATTTTATGGTCGCGGTAATTCGTTCTTTATCTGTTTGAGTCGGGCACGGCGGTGAATTTAAATTTACCGCCAACGAGTCGTCCGGCGTTTTAGCTCAAGTGAAACTTTCGGGACTTAGCCGTTTTCGGAGGTTGAAATCGCCCGTACTAGGGGCGAAAGTCAAATTGCGGCCAAATATATGGCCATAAGTCGATCCAAAAAAGTACCTTTTACCAAACCCTGCGGTCATCTCTGATATAAGCCCTCCCAATGAACTCCAACATTTTACTCGTCGAATTTGACCCACATTGTATACCGACTATGTCAAATATATTCGAAATACCTTACAATTACGATTTTGCTAGTAAAAACGCCGTGAGTACGGGCATACGCGGCTCCGCGTGAAATCCCTACATAGGGTTTGAACTAATGAGCGCCGGCGTGCATGTACGGCGGTTAGGCTGTTAGCCTAACCGCCGTTGATGAGATTATCGAAGGCTACGGTTTCGAGTGTGAATGTGAACAAGGCTGGTGAATCTAGTAGAGTGTGACTGAGGCTAGTGAGCGTAATAGGCTAATAAGCCTAAAGGAAGGAGAGATCCGTGAGACAGTAGTGAGGAGGAACACTAGCTTCACACATCATTCCAAGAGAAGTTTGTGGAGAGGAGGAAGCCGCCGCTTGTGAGGCATTGCTTGTGTTCCTCAAGGATGCATGGCTGCAATCAACGAGTGACGAGCATGGGTGCCGGGGACCACAATAAGACCCGATGTCGAGCGACCACAACACACGTCTAGCCCAATCTCAACAGAGGTCCATTGTAACCACTTCAAAATAGCAGCAATACCATGGCGACCCGAAGAAAGCTTGGTAACATTTGATGGTGTCGATCAGCCCAATAACTGTAGATTAGGACCGAGCTACAGTTTGAAGGCGTGCATGCACGGTATTTAGACGGATAACCGTTGTTAGGAGGTTAGGCCGCGTTAACGACAGTCAATGTGAGCCGTAGATGAAGATATCCATGGCTAAGACCGACGAGGACTTCGACCTAGGCTAGTGAGGCTAGTGAATTGAATCGAATTGAATTGATTTGAAGTCCGTCGGGGCCACGACAGGCCTAGTGGATTATTCTACGGTTTATTTGCTGAGCTCGCTTTTCTCCTCTCCATACTCAAATGTACGAATGTAGCTACAGCTCTCTGCTCTAGCCCATTGAGAAAGTGCTTCAGATCGTCTTTTCCACGTAACGCTGGAAAGAGCGCTTGAAACTCTAGGCGTATGTCACTGTAAGCTGTGCAATCGAATAGGAAATGCTCCTCGTTTTCGACCCGAGCACTTGCACAAAGCGTACACAACCTACTCGCTCGATCCTGCCTTTGCCATCTTCCCGTTTCCACCGCCAAAGTAGGCAATCCGACACGGATTCTGGGTAGGGAAAACAGCAACTGTGGCGCATGTTGAAGCTGATCGAAACAGCTCTCCATTGCGTACCCCTCTTTCATCCTCTTGAAGTACGTTTCAAACTTCGAACCTTTTTGTTCTCGAAGGTCCATCATGTATGCTAATTGGGCACGCTCCGTGAGGAGACGAATGGTCGACCTGCTGGCCCTGTGCAAGTCTGATAACTGAACAAACTCGAAGCTCCGTTTCACAAATTTCGCATACCATCCTCCTCTGCCGGCTTCCCAAAGTGCGCTCGACTCTTTCCAAGCCAAACCTGCTAGCCGATCCGTCCCCAACCCTTCGACCCTCGCCCAGAACTCCGACACTCTCCGCTACCGCTGGACTCCCAGGGGAAACCTCCCAAAGTTTCCCAAGACCGCCTTTGAGCACGCAAATTTCCGGGCCCTCAACAGGCCCCTCAAGAACGCTCTGTGCACCGATTCCAGGCAGTCCCCATCTCCGTTCCAACCCCACTCAACCCCGACCCCCGGCTCCCAAACTTCCGCCCCATACTCCAAAATTGGTCGCACGAGCGAATCGAAAAGCGCCACCTTCGTTTTAGGCAACTTGATGCCGACTTCCTTGCATCGTGCCTCTAAATCGAACACCGCCTTCCGACCCGCATCGCTCAATTCGCAAGCCGCCCGGGAAGTGCTGCCCAAGCAGTCAAACCAGACCCCACAGTACTTATAAGCTTTGACCAATTCGACTTGGTCCTGAGCATACCAACTGTTCCCCGACACTGTTGAACTTGGAGCTGGCCTCCAAAAACGACTATTTGAGTTTTTTGCAAATTCACGGGATGTTGCTTACTCTCACTAAAACGCTCCGAAATGTCCAGCTTTTTTTATAACCCGTTTCTACTGGTGGCTAGCATCACTACGTCGTCAGCAAAAAAGATCGCAGAAACTTTCACCCGATGTAGCGACGGGCTATCAGTGTCTTGCGAAAACTCCTCATCCGAGCTATCAACATACAAGCCAAAGAGCGGTGGGCTTGACGGGCACCCTAGCTTTACCCCCTGCCTGCTCTGAAACGACTCCTCCGAAATCGACCCATCCCCACGTAACCAACACCGGACGTCCTTGTACAGGCCTTTTAGAGACTCTAGCATTTGACCGCGGACTCCAAGCTTATCCAACTGCCGCCACAATTTGATTTTGACGTAGGCTAGTATTCATAGCAGGTTAGTGAGACTAGTGGAATGGGAAGGACTAGTCCGTGAGGTTTATACCGGTGGAATTCGCTATTCTGATACATTACTCTAAAAGAGGCCCTCTGCAAAAAAGCAAGCCACCTGTGAGGAGCTTCGTCGAATCATGGCTGTCATCAATGAAAGATGAGTCTGGGTGCTGGGCACCACGATAAGATTCCCGAAACGACAACAACTACACTACGAGTCCCTATCATGAAGCATTGATGCGCGTCAACGTCAGGAGCAATACGGGTTCGGAAACATAAATCACTGTGCGGTGGTCAAAGCACATCCATTAATCCACCACTTTGTGCGGGAAAGGGTAACCAAAAAGGTCGTCGACTTTGCAAACTGTTTGTCGATCGGAAGGTTTTGCAGGCGGATTTCCTAATCAAAGCGCGGACACCATGATATTCTCGAAGTGCAAGCATAAGATAGGACTTGCTCATGAGACTTATA